TATTTTGATCCTAACTATAGGTTGTTAAAAACCGGAGTGTGGTGGGGGTAGTCATTCATTCACAGTAGTATTCCTTTTTTATTAATTTATAATACAAAATACAAAATAAAGTAGTAGGAAAGTAAGCGAGGGAGAAGGGAAGGGAAAAGTGTAGGGAAAAAGGAAAAAAGAAAAAGGCATTTTCCAACTCCCTTTGGTGCAGTAGAATAAGATAACAGCAAATCTCAGCTTTTTACTTTTACATAATAGTATAAACTAGTAGTATTCTTATAGTTGGATATGTGGGATATTAGAATGCTGGATGTGATAGGCTTTGCTTAGTTCTAACAAAGCTATTCTTATAACCTTAAAATATATTGGAAAATCCTGCCTTTTGGAATATTGGAAGCAAATTTCTTATTTATTGCTTCATATGATTAAAATATTGAGAGAAATGGAAAATAACATCTCAAATTTACAAGAAAGAAATTTTTACCAACTAAAAGCAAGGTAGCTATTTTCGTGCATTGTAATCTATAATTGCTGTTTTAGCCTTAAATGTTCTGGGAATAATCATAGGGCTGTATATCAAATGCTTGCAACCCTGCTGGGAAAAATAACTGGCAAGGAGGAGTCTTTTAATTTATTTAAGTTTTAACTGGTGAAAAATCAAATTCCAAATAGGAGATATGAACTTTGTATAAGTTTGTGATGTTTGCTTTGATACAAGAGTAGTCTCTGAAGCAATCATCTTATGAAAAAGGTATTTTTTAATGTAAGGAGGGGCCATCTCCAGAATAGCTGATGATAATCTGTTTTATATTATTGCACCAATGAAATGCACGTCTTTTGCAAATGGTTCTAGTTTTTTCTTTTGTTTTTAAACAAGTTAATTGACCTAGAATAAGAATATGTATTTAGGCTTTATTACTTCCTTTTCACATTCATTTCAGCAATAGTAATTTTAGAGTTTGTGATAAAAAGTTTGCAATTAATTTTTAATAATAATTTGACAACCCCTTCTCAATTTGCATGAAATTTGTTTTTTCAGATTCATTTCTCTGAAAAAGATGGTAAGGAACAATAAAGTAGACCTGTGGCACATGCCTAATTGCAAGCAAGGATCATACTTATTTCATTGTTTCTAAAACTGGTTTTCCATTCCTCCACCAAAAGACAGTTTGGCCAATATGTTTCTATACTACCCTTCCTAGACAGAAAAGAGCTGGCTGCATTTATCAGAATCTTTCAGTGTTAGCCTATTACAATGCATTCTATTGTGGAGTGCTTTTGAAGACTACATAATAAATTTAATTCGTGCACTATGCTGTGTCACTTCTTTAATCATAAATGGTTTCATTCAGAAATAAACTAAAAAATTTTAAAAGACCAAAAATAAATTTTGTAGTTTAAGAATTCAGTTGCTACAATTAGAGAGTCTACAGTAGAGATAAGTAAGGTGACCAACCATCCTCCTTTAGGGAGGACAGTCCTCCTTTTGTAAGTTCTGTCCTCCCTCGAATAGTGTCCTCCTACATGTCCTCCCTTTCGATATTTGAAGACTAATCTGCAGGGCTTTTTTTTTCTCATAGAACGCTCAGAACGGCGTTCTGGCACCTTTTTTTGATAGGTTTTTTTTCAACTTTTGCATGAGCTGTGCTACTCCCACTATTGGCTTTCGGAAGCCAATAGGAATTGCTGCTGAGCGCGCCAAAACACCCGGCTGGCAAACTTTGCACATGCAAGTTGTCTGTTTTATTGTTGCAATGAATAAAATGTTTCTTTTATTTATGATATTTTTTCTTCAATTTATTTGTGTCCTCCTTTTCATTGTAAAAAAGTTGGTCAACTTAAGATAAGACAAGCTGAGTAGTAGGAAAAATGTATTAAAATACACATATCCTGCGTCTTGACTAAAATATATTTATTAAGCAATCCTAGGCAAAGCTTCATTTCCTTGTATTCTAGCATAGTGACATTGAAATACCATTTCTCCCACCAAAAGCATTTTCCCCCACCAAAAGCAGACTTTTGGATTGAATTTTTAAAAGTTTTGGGAAATTTCCATTTCTAAGTAAGACACTTGTTAAGTGAATTTTGCTCCATTTTTATGAGCTTTCTTGCCACAGTTGTTAAGTGAATCACTGCAGTTAAGTTAGTAATATAATTTTTAAATGAATCTGTCTTCACCATTGACTTTGCTTGTCAGAAGAGCGCAAAAAAGGATCACATAATCCCAGGACACTTCAACTATCATAAATACATTCCAATTGCCAGGTGTCCAAATTTTGATCATGTGACCATGGGGATGCTGCAATAGTTGTAAGTGTGAAAACAGTTATAACTCACTTTTTTCAGTGACCTTGTAATTTCAATTGGTCGCTAAATGAATGGTTGTAAATTGAGATCAGAGATTATAAAGAAAGTTGGAAATAGATAATAGTAAATGATAGAGTTTATAAAAATATTTTGTAAAGTATTGTAAAAAAGAAAATGAAAGAGAAATTGGAGCTTTTATGTAAACAAAATAAACACTTAGTAGCAGAGGTAGAACCCTTTCTTCCATTCTGGGCTCAGTTGTGATCTCAAGTTGAGGACTAACTGTACATTTTCCCAAAACTTTTAAAAATTCAACCCAAAAGTCTGCCTTTGGTGCGGGGGAAATGATGTGTGGGCGGCAGCAGCACCATAAGTGGCAGGCAGACCATGCTGCAAGCCTCACACAGAGGTGGCAGTGTGATCTTCACGGCGGTGGTGGCATTGCTGTGGGCCACGACATGAGCCTCACACAGGGCAGTGGTGCGATATTTGCATCCGTGGTAGCATTGCCGCGAGCCTGGTGGTGGCGGCGCCACAAGCCTCACACAGGTGCCAGTGTCACTGAGAGCCTCGCACGCATGCTCGCAGCCCTGTTTGTGTGGTGCGTATGCTTGTGGCCTGTTTGTGAGCACACGTGCACATGTGGCCACATTCACGTTTGCACATGCGTGTGTAAGGCACCTGCCCCCCCCTCTCCCACCATACTGCCAACCCAGAAAGGTTGGGGACCCCTGCTTTAAGGCACTGGGAGCTCCTGTCTAACCATTCTTTTGGCATCATCTCTTCCCCCCATCACTCAAGGACTTTCCTCCATATCATTACAAATAGGGTCTCTTTTGAGCCTCTTGCCTCACTCACATTCCTGCTGTGGATTCAGCTGCCTTTTATCTGACCATTCTCTTGATTGTGTCTCTTTTCTCTATCTCTTAAGGCCATTCCCATATGCCATCAACAATATGTAATTCTGCCATGTACACTTTTTTTTTTTAGAAATTGGCCCAATGTATTATCTTTTCTGAGATATTTACAATATGCTGTTCAGAAGTTCTTCAACATCTCTGAAATGTGGTTTATATCTCATCTTCTTTCTAAAGGTGGAAGCATTCTACAACAACAATCCTGTGAGATAGATAGGGCTGAATGATAGTGACAATATCAAGGTCACAGTCCATTTTGTCAATCAATATATGACATTGGTACTCAGATTGGAGGCATTATAACTTTCCTAGCTGCCTCCAAAACTAATTTATTTGCTTCCTATAGAAATTCTATATTTATTACTCTAGTTCAATCACTGTGGCTTATGAATTCTCAAGGGCTTTTAAACTGCTTATCCAGCTGCAAAACATTGGGTCATATTGCTAGCTAAGGAATATATTCTGGGGAATTTAGCAATAGCCCCTTTATACAGTCAAAGGAGATTGATTGTATTGGATGAGCTGTTGCTATCAGGACATTTTCAACCTCCATAAATTGTTTTTGGAATTTGAGAAGAATATAACTTCTATCACATCCTTCAACACAATAAAGTAATATTTATAATATTTAAAAATACAATTATTCTTTATAACCACAAACAATATATAGTTGTTTATGTTATTTATAACCAAAAATGTATAATATGCTGTACCCCTTAATATACTGTATATTGTATATTTCAGTACAATATGTATTCCATTTTTGAAGACTTTTTCAGATGACAACAATAAATTGCAGCCCTATTCAGCTTGCTAAAATTTCATATAGAGGGCTTTTGATACAATTGTTGCAAAAAGTTAATTTGTAAGATACTGCAGGGGTCCCCTATTCCCGGTCCATGGACCAATACCAGGCTGCGGCATGCCAGCAACTGGTCTGCACAAACAAGCAAAGCCCCATCCGCTGGATGCAGGCAGCATACAAAACCACGCAGCCTCCTGTCCGCAGAAAAATGTCTCTCCATGGAACTGGTCCCTGGTGCCCAAAAGTTTGGGGACCTCTGAGATACTGCATTGTTTGTGGTACAGTGCTAATGAGAAGATAAAATTAAGTAAGGAGACATAAATGCTGGTTGCTTTTGCTTCTATAACAAAGAGATAAATAAACAGATAAATTCTGATTGCTATGTATCCTGGAGATTTTATTCAAGGTGGGAATTGGGAAACTTGTATTTTCTCAATTTTGCCAAAATTGGGTCTCCTTGGCATATGCACGCAAGGCCAGAATTAACCAATGTGATAAGCTCATCTATGGGAGGACTTGGTATGTGGTATCTGCATCTCTTTATGGCCATGTAGGTTGAAAGGCAGGTGGACAGGGAACCCAGTAACTGTGGAGCTTTAACATCTGGGAAAAGCAAGATGGAAGAATCACATGCTATATATGACACACTGCCAACATGATGCAGCTAAGGACAAGGGCATTTGTGAACCAGAAAGAAAATATAGCACCAAAATATAGCACTTGGGTAGTTGCTGGTAAAAATGGCATGTATATTCAGCTCATTTTGCAACTATCTGTATCATTCTTAGAAGGATGTCACATAAACTAATATTACAATTTTAGAGTCATGGCACCATAGTGCCTGAGAACTTTGCAAAACTCTGCTGCCCAGAGTCTTTGGATATGAGATGGGTGGCAAATAAATTTTCTAAATTAATTAAAGCAATAAATAAAACTCTACAAACAAAGACCAGCTGCTAATTTTGTTGTGCATTTTACAGGAGACACTGATAGACTGGTGTGATGAAAAAGAGCTCAACTTGATTTTAACAACTGGAGGAACAGGATTTGCACCAAGAGATGTTACACCAGAGGTGAGATAGTTCATTTTCCTTTTTTAAACTATTACTATTTCTCAAACACTAATATTGTTTTTATATATAGTGCTTCAGAAGTTGCATATTTGATGTAATATGAATATTCTGTTTCTTAAAGAAATAAAAATACCTTTATTAAACAACTGAGAAACATAGAATTTATTTTACTTGACTACATCAAGAGGTTTGTGTTTTGTCTCTTGGCTATTTTGCAATGTTCCTATTTATCTTTTGTAACACATACCCTTAATTCAGACATGGAAAATTTTCTTTGGTAGTGATTTTCAGGGTAGAAAATATTGCAAATCCTTAAGGCAAGTCAAATCAAACATCTTATTACAATCTTTTACCAACCTATACAGTAAAAGAAAAAGGTAATTTAATACAGATGCAATGAACATGAATTTGGGCAAACTCTGGGAGACAGTAGAGGACAGGGGCACCTGGAGTGCTGTGGTCCATGGATATAAGAAGAATCAGACACAATTTAGCAACTGAATAACAACAACAATTTAATACAACAATATGTTATTAGGTGGGGAACAGGGACAATGAGGCAATAAAGCAACATATATAATTAAATGTTTTGCATAATTGTATAATTTTGTATAATATTGGGAAGATTAGAGTATGTCTTGGGGCATCATAAACAGGACACTGCTATCCTTGTGGCAAGTTCCTTATTTTCCTATTTGTGGTCTTAATTTGGTCAGCACTGTTCACTCTATTTTTGCAATCTCTGCTCTCATATCAGACTATTATGGTTTAGAAATATTTATGATATGCTGATCAACTGCTCCTTTCATTTGAGATATTTGGCATAGTCAATAAATCAATATTTCTTATGTATATTACATTAAAGATGCTTAATAATGTATATTCTGAAAATAAAACAGACAGAATTTCTATATATTTAGAGATCTTTAGATCAAATGATTTTTGTGATACTTTTCTCCAGTGATATAATTTTAGATTTATTCAAAATTTCAGGAGTAAGAGAATGATGCTCTTGGTACCACCACACCTCTTATAATATACATAATAAAAATTGATTAGGCTTAAAGATACCACAAAATTGTCTTTATTATTTAAATTGAAATGTTGGTTAAGTTTGATGTTTTGTTGAATTTGGAGATTTTATTTATTGATTTTATAATAATTATAAACTATTTAGAGTCTCTGGAATGCAACAGCATACGTATGTATGTATGTATGTATGTATGTATGTATGTATGTATGTATGTATGTATGTATGTATGTATGAATTTAACACACACCCAAAGTAAAATGCAGTGCTGAAAATAATATCAAAGTGCTGAAAATAATTTACAGTGCTGAAAATAATATCAAAGGTAAAGTAGAAGAGAAATTTGATAATTTTCAGTTTTTTATTTTATTTTTTCCAAAGCAATATTCTTTCCACAAAAAGATGGAATCAAAGGATTACAGGTGAAGGATGGATTTAAAGTAGCATATTGAAGGAATTATGTCCTTTGTTAGTAAATGTTTTAAAATACCCAGTACTGTAAACACAGTTAATAAAAGGCTGAACTGATACCTGCTAGGTAAATGTTCTTTATTTTTCCTTAAAGAAAGTTTTAATTGGTTAATTAAGTTGATCATTTTATCTTTACTTTTCAAATTGCCTTTTTCTTTTTTTGCTTCTATTAATAAATGTATTATTTAAACAATTTTTAAAAGTATATATATTAAATATCAAGAAATATTAATGGGTTATTTTATTGAATTTGATGCAGATAATTGGATAATCACATTTATTCTCTGATTATTATTATTTTTTAAATGCTTAAATTATTGTTCCCAGTACCCCACAGGTTGAACTAGTCTGTTCAGGTATTACATCCAAAAGCTAGGTTAAGCAAGCTCAAATAAACTGTTTTTCCTTCTTTAGAGAGCTTCCTTAACCTCCTAGGCAGCCACACTAGTAATAATAAATTTAGTAACATCACAATTAGTACTTACATCATGCTCAATGTTTTCCAAAAGCTTTACCTGAAAGTTGCAACATTTTCCAAGACACTTCCATTTTTAGCCGTGAGATTAATCTAGCAATCCACTTCTGTCTTCTCCAGCGCTTCCCTTTCTGGAGAGCTATCTAATTCTATGAGCATGAAAAAAACATTTGAAATAATATTTCTGAATAATCTAATACAGTAGTAATCAGACATACAGAAAAAAGATATGTTCTTCATTTTTCATCCAGAAGTCTAAACATGTGCAAGAGAATCAAATTCAATTTAAGTTTCAGATGTGAAGACCTAGCCTCTGTTCTCTCATCTAAGATGGTTTCCAGAGCCAAAGTGCTGGTTTGGATAGAAAAATCTTACACCCCTCTCTGATGATACTTCTTAACATATATGATACTTCGGTTTTGTTTTTGTTTGCCAAGGTGTTAACTGACTGGTGTTCTTATCATAATTTCAAAGTATCCAAATCACATTCCTTCTGGATTTCTGCACTAGACCTCCACAATACTCTACAACACAATAACGATATATATATTTCCCTGCTGACTCTGAATTATGGCAAGTTTTTGAAACTTCTCTACCACCTCACAAAACCTTGTGAATATTCTCTACCTTATGATTCAGATTCAAGTAATTATTACTTTGACTCTTCCACCAAGTTTTCAGACAAACTTTCCCTTATGACATAACCAGACAGTGGAAGACCAGTTATCATTTTATCTATATGAAGATACTATCGCTACGATTTGCAGAGGTTAGATCTTGAAGCTCACAGTGGAAGATAATCAGTACACGTCAATATGCCTCCATCATATCAACTCCAGCTCTTAAGATCCAGTAGCCATGTCAAAATTATCAGCTTTCTTCCAGTTTTACGTACGACAAAAATAGTATGTGTCAAATCCATCTTGTTGATAAGAAATCCTATTGACCATATCATACAGGATGAGTGCATCACCTCTACTGCCCCCCATTTTAACAACTTATAATTTTAAATTATCTATTTTAGAAAAGATATTCTTTCCCTTGTATATATAATATAGATATTTTCCTTCAAGCAAAGAAGTTATCTGCAATAAAAAATAATATATTTACCCATAGAGATTACAATTCCTTTTCTCCTTCTGATAATCTTCAGCATCATCTGTATCAGATATTTTTTTCATCACAAAATCTAGGGATAATCTACAGCAGAATCTATAGCAGCTCATGCAGTATTGGGCACTTCTCAGTTTGCCCATGTTACACTATAATTGCACATTAATTAACTGCATTAATTCCCAGTTTCTTTCCATGTGCAATTCAAGGTGCTGGTTATTAACTTTAAAGTCCTATAAGGTATGGGGCCAGGTTATCTGGGGACTATATCTGCAGATCCAAGTAGGTTGGACAGAGTAGGCACTGAACAGGTGTCTTCCTTCAAATGTTGTCAACTAGTGGGACCTAGGAAGGCCTTTTCTTTAGCAGCCCCTGCCCAATGGAACACCCTTCCCCTTGACATCCAGGAGATCCTTACCCTCTTAGTTTTAGAGAAAGCTGGTAAGAGCTGGATTTTCCCCCAGGCACTGAGATAGCAAGGCTGGAGCCTGGAAACTGTATGGTTGGATAGATATTGTTGATTTGGCAACAATATTTCTTGTTTGTTGGATTGTTTTATTTTTCTGTTTTTATTATAACTGTTAATTGCCTTGAGTCATGTCTCACAAGATGGGCAGCCATAAATCTTTTACATAAATAATTAAACATAATGTTGCCAAATTTAAAAAAAAAGATCTTTATCTCTTTACATCTTCCTGTAAGATGTTCCACACTAAATGGTTTAAGGTCATTAACTTGAGATGTAGATCAGGAAAAGTTATTATCTGTATTGAAGTATATTCCAAAAAAGATGTTTTATGAACATTGCAGAGTACCACTTTGGATGTTAAGTAGAGAAAACTAATTACAATGGGGTGGGATTTAATTTTGAAATACAATATGCATATCCAATTTCTAGATTATATTCAGATTAAAATGAAAAGATATTGTAAAAGTTTTTTTTTCATAAAGAGTAGTTGTTGTTGCTCTACTTTAAAAGAGACATTCTTACATTATTTCTATGTAGCGCACCTCACATTTGAGCTATTTCATCACGGAAACCCATTAATTTTTTTTGTACATTTTTATCAGTGTTTTGAGTTTATCAGTGTTTTGACCTTGTTTCATGAAACTCTATCTTCTTTAGCTCTTTCATGTCTTTTTGAAAGATACCTCTTTTCTCTATTATTGTATCAAGTTTTAAAAAGTTTCAGACTCCTTAGGGCCTTTAGGTACAATGTTTTCTATAAATGACATTTTCCATTTGAGGGACAAGAGGGTGGTGCTATTTTTTTATAAACGTTTAGAGACATTATTCTTCTGATAAGATTCAAGCTCTAATCATCAGAAAAGTTTCTATATATTAATTAATTGAGGAATTAAATAAGTAGACCAAATTAAGAGGTTTTCTCCAAAGCTAATGAGATGAGTCCAAGAACTGTAGCCAACAAGTATTCATCTTATCTATAAAATGTTTAACTAACAGCATGAATAATGCTCCCAATTACTTTTTACAGCAGTTTATAGACTTTCTAGTTGTAGCTTAAATATTGCATTACCATTCATTTCCAGCCAAATGGACTCATTATTTCAGCATTCTTTATAAACTGAGTATGTACCCAATTAAAAGTTTTTGGCAACAAGTGTTCTAATATTTAATTTACCTGTGTTCCAGGAATTGAGCTTATCTTCAAATAAGATATTTCGTAATTACTTATTCAGACTTTCTTTCAGCTTCATACAAAATATCTTCTCAAGGGTCTCCCTTACCTCTATATCTCCCTGTCAGACCCCAGATACTAATCTGGAACCTCTCACTTACCCTTTTCTTCTTGACCAATAATCCTTCACCAAATACAGATGGTGAGCCAGTTAAAATTTGGATCAGGATGTTCTGGTAACTCATGCAGTATATGTGACAGGCTTTCAGAA